AGCGAGAAAAAGAAGGGTGTGTGTGTGTGTATGTGTATGTGTATGTGTATGTGTGTATGTGTGTATGTGTATGTGTATGTGTGTGTGTGTGTGTGTGTGTGTGTGTGTAACCTAACCCTCACTGTCAGCTGTCCTCACTGTCTCTTCGTCACCTTCCTGTCGAGGTTTCTGGATTATTCCATTTGTTCTTTCAGCTGCTGATAATCCTCCTGACCTCAGCAGTGGCTGACACAAAAACAGACAGACAGACAGACAGACAGAGACACAGACAGGAAGACAGACTGACAGACAGGAAGACAGACTGACACACAGGTAGGCTGATCCATAAAGGCCTCGGATACGTCTACTAAGTAGAGAAAGCTCGACCTGACGGTGGAAACACTTGCAAAAGATACTCAGCAGGTGATTGGATGAACCATCTGTCTGTCAGCGTATATAACGAGCTAACTTCAACCAATCAGATCAATGAACCATATAACGTAGTCAAACTCTTGCTGAAGCCAATCGTCTCCTGAGACATCCCGCCATTAGTTTTATGATCAATTAATTTATAGAATATTCTCTCGATAAATATGTTGTTTTGTCTATAAAATATCAAGAAGGAGTTTAAATGGCCCAATGTACTGTCCGAAGAGATGTATTCAGTTTATTATCATATCATTAAAGTTTTATATTTTTCTTCAGTTTATCATTTTTGTTTTAAAGTCAGTGTAGTTTCAATTAGTTTCCAGAGAGTATTTGCTTGTTTCAGTTTAGTTTTTATTGTTTAAAGCTGTTTTATCATAATATGGAGGTATCTGTACGTATTACAGTACAAACAGTCTCAATGAACAGATGAACCGACGCTTCCTCAGGATTGTTGTGCTGACAAATGTCCTGTATAATTTTTTATTTCAGTTAGTTTTGTAAAAACACAATATTGTTTCAAGTAGTCTTAGTTTTTATTTCTATTTCAGTGAACTAAAATTAATGTAGTTTTAGTTTAGTGATTTCAGTTAATTATAATAAACAGTTGCTGATGAATTCTCAGTTGATCGATTAATCAATTAATCCACTACCTGTTGCAGCTCAAACTGACAGTAAAAGTATATTTTTAGTCCCAGTTGGAGAGTAAAATGGAAACTTTGCATCGGCGACATGTTGAGAATTTAATTTGAGCTTCCCTCACTCATGATGTTATTATTTCGAACAGAATATCTTCTAATTTCAGCCTCTGTGTGTCAGTGCTGTCTGTTTGTCTCCATCAGTCATCGCTCTGTCATTATCACCTCCACCGCCTGCTGCTGCCTCTGGCTGGGTCACACATAACGGGCACAATTAGCGGGGACTAGAGCCGGGGTTAGAGGCGACGGGGGGGCGGATAGCTGTGGAGTTGGGGGGTGCATGGTAATAGATAGCTGGAGGATTAGGAGATACACGGTACTGATAGGTGGGGGATTAGGGGTACAGGGTAATGGAGAGCAGAGGGATTAGGTGTGATGGGTTAGGAGGTGGTGCGAGGTTAAGAGGGATCGAGGAGGAGAAGGCCGGAGTTAGGAGGGATACGGCTAATAGCTGGTGTAACGCTTTAATAGGAGGATGTACCGTACACATCCCATTATAATGTAATGAAGGAGAAGCTAACGACCTCCTGAGTACAGACTGAACCACAGGGGGAGACGGAGCAGGCGAGGGGGGAGGCAACGGATGTAAGTCTCACTGTGGGGGGGGTAATTTATATAAATCATATTAAACACAGTCGTTACAGACTTTGTGCCTTCTCTTATTAAATATTCTATTGATCAGTCTCAATAACAGCAGAGAACAGCTGATCAACTGATCAATGAACCCAAACAGTGAACTCAATCACTGCAGGAAGTTTGATTATTTCCTGATATATTGATCCATTCTCTGTCTGTATTTTTATCATTTTAACAATCAGAATAAATTAATTAATATTCTTCTTTCTGACAGATTCTCTGTTTATTGATCGATCAGCT